GTATGTATGTATGTATGTATGTTATGTATGTATGTATGTATGTATTAGGGATGCCAAACGGGACTGGCTTTTACAAATCCCGGGATTCGGGATTTTGAAAATTGCAATCCCGGGATCCCGGGATATTTCGGGATCCCGGGATTTTTCGGGATCCCGGGATTTTTCGGTATTTCGGGATTTTACGGGATTTCGGGATTACATGAATTTAATTATTTTATATATGAAAATCTTTAAATCATCATATTTGTAAAGAAAATTGTTTAATTTTGTGGAAATTTAACAGACAGAAGATATATTTAAATTAAAACAATCCAATTAATTCCAATTTTTAAATAAAAACTTTCAGAATTGAATAATTTCTGAAACTTTTTAAATACATACTTACTTCCTAAATAAAAATAAATATCAAGTTCCGAAATTAGACATAAGCACTTTTTAAAACCTCATACTGTTCCATGTGAACTAATAATTATAACAGATACCAATTCAATTATTCGAACATCAATTTAGAACCTATTCTTTGAAAAATATTTGGAATTTTACTCAAAATACATATTAGTTTTGGAACATATTATTATATTCGTAGTATTAATTTAAAATTTTAGGTGCATTCAGAACAAGGTAATTTACCTTTACCGGTATCATTCAGATTTGTAGAAAGTTAGAAATGTAAAATCCTCTAGTATTGAAAAATAAAGTTTGTATTCGACTGTGCCGAAATTAAATACCCACCATCAAAATATTGTAATGTATTGATATTAATATCAGCATCAATGTGATTTTCAGAGGAGGTCCAATTAGGTTTTTTTGTGTCAATTTTGTTCCAAATTTGCAGCCCAAATAGAATGAGTCTTCTCAATGTTCATAATGAAGTTAAAGTTTTTCGTCAAAATTAGAAGATTCTGACTCTAATAGTTTCCGAGAAAAACGATTTCTGTATTTAATTCATATGGGACGTGCCACTATGTATATTTTACAAACTATTTTTTATGTTGCGAAAAATAATTATCCTTAATTAGAGATTGTGGTAACACTGGTATAACTGTTTATTCATAAAATAAAATATAAAAAAAAACAATAAATTAATTTGCAGCTAGTAGTTGCAAAACAAAATTTAATTGCTACTAGGAAAAACTCAGCGCAAATAAAAATATCATCAATACTAGCCATATTAGTTTAACAGATTTGAGTGTGCGCTGCTATAGCACAAAAATATATTTTTTTCGTGTACAACAAACAAGAGATTAATACTGTTCATTCGTGCTGATAGAGATTGCAGTGTAACGTCGCAATTTTTCTAGTTAAACATAAAAACAGAACGGCAATATTTAGTAGCAATGCTATTTAAATCTGAAAAAGTTTAAATATTTTTAGTATGACGAGTGATAAAAATGTGTATTTTGCGGCAAATGCTGACTAATATATTAGTAAAAGTAAACACTGGTCAAAACCCACAAAAGTATATATCGTCACCTAAAACGCAAACGGCCCTATCTTACATTTTTAAAATTTTACAGGAGAAGAAAAAAACTATTTAAATTGAAAAGTTTGCTTCTATCGACGCGATTTATTTGTAGTAAATAAACGAATTATTTTATAGTGAAACGTATCAGTTAACAATGATAGCTAACAATGGCGTATATAAAAATGGATAAATTGGACTTTTTACCTTTAATATTTAAATGTTTTTGTAGATAGGGCCTTTTTTTGTCAAAAAAACGCTAATTTTTGTCGTGTGCACCCTGTAGTTAAGCTACCAAAAAAAGAAAAAAGAAGAAGCAGGGTAAACAGGTGGCAACTGAATAGAAAGGGAAATTTTTCTTTAGGAAGAAGAGGAAGAAAGTAAACAAAAACAAAACAACTATGAAACAAGTAAGAGTGCTATATTCGGATGTGCCGAATCTTATATACCCTTCACCATAGTGTATTTAAAAATTCATTTTCCCGACTATATCATTATTATAGCAATAGCAAAACATAATGAACAACAACAACGCTAAACGAAATAAACACACGCAAAGAAATACACAAGGCAGTAAAACCAACAGACGTACGTAACGAAATACAGAAAAAAACAAAAACATAATACACAACGCAATGAAACCAACAGACATACAAACATACGAAATTGAATGTATGTACCAGGAAACAAAAACAATATACACAAGGCAATGAAATACACAGCCATCGAAACATACGAAACGAAATACTCAAAAAAACAAAAACAAAATACAAAGGCAATGAATAAGCAGTGTTGTTGTTGTTTATTTTTTATGAAATTTTCAGAGGTTTCGGATTTTTGCTTATATCTCCGTTGTTTATGAACGGATTTTGCTGATTTTAAATAGGAAACTTCTCGAAAGCATGTCTGATAGAATTATTGAAGATTTGGATCCCGAAGATATCTGGGGTCTTCAAAAAACTGATTTCAACAGACAGACGGACATGTCTTAATCGACTCCGCTATCTATACACACAGAAAAAAGATTGGTTGGAAATCGGTCACAGTTACAATTTTTTGTTCACTATGAAAGAATATTATTTGTAGTTATTAAAAAACAGTACATTCAACATATTTTATATATTTACAATTGAAAAACCAAAAGTGTAATCGAACTATGGTTCGCCCAACTATTATTTCAGTTAATCTCAACTTGAGCTTTATAAACGCTTTATAAACGGTTATTTCAATTATGTCTTTCAGCAAGATCGAATTAAATTTATAATTATTTGCTTCTACTGTAAATATCAGTACTTGTAATCGAAATTTTGTTTACATCTCTTTATTAATGCCAAAAATGTGTTTTTAGTTATGGTATTAAAATAATTCAATTAAAAGTATAGAAAGTTCGGTTATTTTGATAAAATAAAGAATAATTCTGTATTTACAACCGAAAAATTCGATATTTATTACAATAAAATCTAATTCGGTATTTCCAACCGAATTCAATATACAAATGATTAAGTTTACTTGACATTTAAAAATATTTAGTACTAAATTAATAAAAACGAAATAAAAAAGAACAGACATTTATAAATAAAATCAAAAATTCTAAAAAATTAGAAGTTTTTGCAGATTTTTAATAAAAATTGTAAGTAAATGAAACTGTTTCCATGTATGTAAATAATATAAAATAAACATTATATATTTAATTTCAGAAAGCTGTGTATTCATATCTAGGAGAATTTTTCAAATATTAATAATCTTATAATTTCAAAGCCAACCGAAAAATCCGCTGCCAAGCATGGTTATAAGAATCAAGAGAAGAAAGCTTCGGCTACTACTTCCGCTGCTGGTGGCAAAGGGGAAACTGCAGCAAGGCCCGCTCTAGCTAAAAAAACCTGCTGCTGCTACTAAAAAAAGAGTAGTTAAGAGGGCTGCTCCTACCCAGAAAGTTGCCTCTAAAGCTAAGTTAAAACCATGGATGCGGCCCTCTCTTCAAAGCCTCGTGCTGCTGCTAAGGACAAGGACGTTGCCACCAAACCTGGCTCGAAAGTACAAAAGGGTACCTCAAAGGTTAGGGCTGTAGCTTTGCTATAAGGCTTAGACAAATATTATCAACAAACGTATATTTCCGCAGACCTAAGACCTTCAAATTCTACCCAAGGATATTTATACCAGCCAGAAATCGCATTGACGCTTAAATATCATCAATTACATCGATGGTCAAAAGGAGGCTTTTGTTCCTTTGTTTCTTTTTAATAGAAATATAGACGTAAACCAAAAAATATGTAAATACGTTCCTAAATGCATTAAGTTTTCTGAATTAGTAAGATCTGTAACAGAAAATAGTGTATAGAACGTTATATTTAAAATATTGCAGTTTTGCGCTATTAATGCATTTATGAACGTATAGGAACGTAGGTTTGAATTTAAAATTAATGTAAAAATAATTACATCTGCTGCGAAATAAACAATTTTTCAAATAAATATAAAACAATACGTTTATTTTTATTGGTTGCTGATATTAATAATTTCGGTCACCATAACCGAATTGTTTTTTAAAATAAGTAGGTATAATGACTACTCAATCAATGACTTCAATCGATAATTCGGTAGTAACAACTTTCATGTGTTCTAAAAATATAGATTTAACAAATGAAATATTCGGTAATTGCAACCAATTTATGTGGTAGTTGTTGTAACCGACCAAATTCGATTGGAAACAAATTCGGTTGCTACAACAAATCTGTTTTCTCTGTGTAAGGATTCAGAATATATATACTTTATGGGGTCGGAAAATTATATTTTGGAAATTACAAACGGAATGATAAACTTATATATACCCTTCTCACGAAGGTGAAGGGTATAAAAAAATATATGAAAAGAATTAAATTGCTGAAAATTTATTGGAAGGGCACCATATTGGCAACCGAGGTTTCTCGGTCCCTAATGACCAAAATGTCGGTCTTTTTGTATTTCTTTTGGCTATTGAAGAAGGTGGAGCCCGTAGCCATTGTCTAAGTAATAATAAAAAAAATATGTTTTTCATTGGTGAACTGTTTAATTTTTTTGTTAAAAAAAAATTGAACAAATTTTTAAATCTTAAAACTAAACTAAAGTAGATTTAAAACTACATTAAAGTAGACTTTAAAGCTAAATAAAAGAAAACTTAAAACTAAATAAAATCCAAATTAAACTAAGCCAACACCAAGCCACGCCATCGCCAGCTCCACTCAACGGGGGACTTCGTTGGCAGATTAGCACCAACAATCCGGTGGTGCTTCAGGTACCGGGTTTTCGACTGGAAAATTTACTTTTACCTCGAACGACATGACGAACTAGACTGGTTAATTCCTTTTAGGTAATTTCTATAAAAAGAAAAAAAAAAGTTAAAAAAAAAACAGATATTAGTTTAGACTTCAAATATATATATATATATTTTGGTATAAATTAATGAATACAAAAAAACCTAAACAGAAATGAAATAAAAAAAAACTATAGTAAAATATAAATTATTTAAAAGGTTTTTTTTTAAGTTTTTATATTTTCTACTTACCGAAACACCGAACGAGAACAGATAACGGACAGACTGAAAACTTACGCTACCGTTCTTCCAAATGTTATGTAATGACCCGATAGTCCAGATCACAAATATGGAGAGCTTCTAAGTGTATAAGGTAAGTGATTGGGGTGAAATTATTGTGAGTGGGTAGGGTTAGTTAGGGGCAACTAAAATTAACAGGTTGCTACGGTTGTAGGTTAAGGGCTCTGGGAGGGAAATAACATATTGGCAACTCCATCTGTCAATAATGAGTATTCTTGATTAGTAATGGAATGATTTAGTTGAATGTTTGGTGTATTCGTTTTATGAATGTTTTTCTCACTTCGGGTCCCTTTCAATTTAAATATTTCTGTTTTTCTGTCAACTTAAACGTAATGCTGGTATTTTATAGAATTTTTGTATCCAGGAAAAGTGGCAGTGTCGGCAAGAACCACCCCATCCGGCGATCCTCAGCTCGGCATACGCCATAATACCAGCGCCGCCGACATTTGGCAACACCAACCCGCAACAGATGTTTCGGCATTTGTTTTGTTATCAATTTTCATAATCCTGGCCAGTATAAAATGGCGCCCAACGTGGGGCCCGAAGTGAGTACGTCCATACTTGTTAGTGTTATGTTTTTGCCTAAGTAGTGTAAGTCCCGTTCACGTCAAATAAGAGTCTGTAACGCGTTGCGACATCTTCTTGGCAAAAACATATATTTTTGTTAGCTTTATTGTTAGAGTCTTAAGCATTAAGTACATTAGGAGTATGGTTAATCGCCTAATATATAAAGCCAACAAAAAGTTTCATTAAATTCAATAGCCCAAGTAAATTTCATTTGTTATTTTCTACTTGTATTTAAGATGTATAAGTCTTATATCTATTAAATTCTCAGGTGGATTAGATATAATAGCGATACATTCTTAAATCCAAGTACATATAAAATTTCTAATCCCAGAGTCTTAATTAGTTTTATGTTAAGTGGCTGATTTAACTGCTCAAGGGAGAAGAAAATTAAAATTTTGTTTAAATAGTTTTTGCTTACAGACTTAGGACTAGTCCTGGAAAAAGGGAAGAAATAATATTTCAGTTTTCAGTCGCAGTACTTAAGTTTGTCCATATAGTAAATTTCAATCTGTAAAGGCCGTTAGGAAATACCAAAGTTTACAACTAAATTATACTTAAAAATTTAAATTATACTTAAAAGGGAAGAAATAATATTTCAGTTTTCAGTCGCAGTACTTAAGTTTGTCCATATAGTAAATTTCAATCTGTAAAGGCCGTTAGGAAATACCAAAGTTTACAACTAAATTATACTTAACTTTACATAGATCAAGAATAATCGACAATTGTTTTATAAACCTACTCACTCACGCTATGATTGAACCCCAATCACTTATGTATAGAAGTTTATAATACATTTTGAAATAGTTAATATTTGAAGATAGTTCGGTATTTGTGTCAGTTCCGTTAGTACTGAAAATCTTTAGTTCCTTTTATTAATCGCTGTGGTTATTATTTGGTATATTATATTTTATGTTTTTTTTTTTTTTTTTTTGAATTTTCGTTATAAATATTTTTTTTTGTTATCTTCGGCGGTATTTCAAAGGAAGGTAATAATTTGTCACGTTTTTCCTAATAATTTGAATTTTCGTTGAGTTTTTGGTGGATTATGGTTGTAACTCGTTCCAGTAGTAGAATTTCAAGTAATTTACCAACCAGCAGCAACATGGCAACTACTGAAGCAGGTGTAACTCGTACTACAGACGCTCTTACTGCAGGTGGGCCTACCACAACAGCCACGTCAACAGCACCAGTATTGCCTCACGAGGTCTCTATTAGTTCAGATGACACGAATTCCACGATTAGGTCGCCAGAATACAGTACAGTAGCCTTACAGCTCAAAACGTTCGCCGCGAAGTCCGAAAGAGTCTGTCCAACCAGCGGAATCAAAGTGCCAACATACAGGAAGTGGTCAACGCTTCTATCGGTCTTTCCCAGGCGCAATTTATGAGGCAGGTAGATAATAAAATCAACGATGATTTAATGGAAATTAAGCGGGCATTGGGTATAAACCACCAGCAACAACAAGATGTCCCAGCAAGTTTATATCCGACTGTGCCATTGCAGGAGGCTCAGGGAGGAGGTCCGGAATTCTTAACCGGCGCAGTGACACAAACAAACCCATTACTTCCAGTGACTAGGAGTTTAGTGGCACCTATGATCTCGCAAGTATCATATCCTCACGGTAATATAGGCGGAAGAGAAGTGACAGCCGTCACGTATACCCAACCACAGCCAGTTATAGCTCACCACCTCCACCACCCTTATTTCCAGCACCACATTATATGGCTAGTGATATACCGCGGAGGGATCAGACAGATTTTCCAGAGCCTAATCTAAACCAGACGAGATATTTTGAACAACAGGCAATGAATCAGACTCCGATCAATCCCCCGAGGGTTGGTCAACATCAACAACAAGCCTACAACCAACAACAACAAGGGTATAGCTACAATCAACCAACACTACAACATCAAAATAGCTTTGGACCAGCTCCTAATTATGCTTGGCCAGTGTCAAATGGGATGGAAAATCATCAGTGAGTGAATTTGTTTAAGTGGGGTATAAAGTTTGATGGTACCAGTAAGTCCATGAATGCTCAAGAGTTTATCTTTCGAGTAAACGAGCTTAGAAAAGATTATAACTGCTCGGACATGGATATTTTACGCCATTTCCATAACTTACTGGAAGGTCCGGCTTTAGCCTGGTATTGGAACCATCGCAAATTGGCGCAAATTAACTCTTGGTGGGACCTGGAAAGTGCTATTTTGTCCCAATATCAGCGTTTTGAGAATGAGTTTCAGGTACAAATGCAAATACTCAATCGCCGCCAGTTACCTCATGAGTCATTTGAGGAGTTTTACAATGTCATTCTCAAGCTACGTCATCTGCAAAAGTTTCCGTACGATGAGAGATCGTTAATTGATATCATGAGGGGTAACCTTAAACCAGCTTTGGCCCAGTTGATGTTTCCCATCCGAATAAATAGCCTAACCGAGTTTTGTCACGAGGTCAAGAGAGCAGAGAACTTGTTGGCTAACCAGAAGCAAAGTTATCAAAAGCGTCCGAATTTCGCAAGGGTCAATGAAATTGAGGTTACACCAGAAGAAAAGGAGGTGGTGCTTATTCTGGAAGTGGACGCAATGCAAAGTGGTTGGTCATGGTTTTTTTTTTGATTGTCCTTCGTCCACGCGTAGAATTTTGGTTACAGTGTCCTAGATGTCAGGGAAACCGGTCCCGGAACCCGTCTCGAACTGGGAGGCGAGGTCAACGGAAGTTTAGGCCCAGTTAGTCAAAGATCTACGGCAACGAGTGAAGAGAGAGAGCAAGTTAAAATTTTGAAAAGGGTTGAAGCAAAGGTAGAGGCAAGTCCTGAGACTCGGCTCAGAGAGATAAAACCTCTCAGGCAAGATCGAGAATTTTCGGTAACGTTTCGAATAGGATAAAGAAAGTACGCGAAAGGTATAAGCGAAGAAAAAGTCTTAGGCGGGAAATTTCGGCCGCGTCGTTAATAGAGGGTGATGATTCTCGTTTTTATACTAGGATTTCTATAAATCGTCAGGAAATCGAGGGATTGTTGGACAGCGGTGCAACGGTTACGTGCCTAGGCCGTAATTGTATGAGTTTCATACAGAAGACCGGTCTAACAATCCACGATTTTCATACCAATATAAAAACGGCGGATGGAACAGAACACCCTATAGTCGGTAGTGTGGAAGTCAACGTTGTGTTTCTTTTAGTCCCTACTCTGAGTCGCGAGTTATTCTTGGAAGTCTCACGACGAATGGTATTAATATTTGCGAAGATGAAGAAGAGACGATGCGATGTTCCCCTGCTATACAAAGAAGGGCCTTGGTAAAACGCATTTAGAACGCATGCAATAGACACCCGTTATGCAATTCCAGTGAAAGATAGATATTACCCTGTGCAAAAGTTGATGTATGCGGAGTTGGATAGAATGCTGGACTTAGGTGTTATTGAGCTTAGCGAAAGTCCATGGAGTCATCCGGTTACTCTCGTACGAAGGGGCGAGAAGAATCGGTTATGCCTGGACGCGCGTAAACTCAATGCGCTGACAGTCAAGGATGCATATCCATTGCCGCACATTGAAGGTTTGCTCAGTCGATTTGGAGATACAATCTATTTTTCGAGTGTCGACTTAAAAGACGCGTTCTGGCAGATACCACTAGAGTCATCTAGTAGGGAAAAAACTGCTTTTACGGTACCCGGTACCTGGACGACCACTTTATCGATTTACTGTCATGCCTTTTGGGTTGTGTAATGCAGCTCAAAAGTTATGTCGGTTAATGGATAAAGTGATCCCCGCGGCACTTCGTGAAAGAGTTTTCATGTACTTAGATGACCTATTGATAGTATATCCAGCATTCGAGACACATCTGGAATTGTTGAAGCGGGTATCTATTTGTCTAGCAGATGCAAGTTTAACCATCAATGTTGCTAAATCCAAATTTTGTTTTAAGGAGTTAAAATATCTTGGGTATATTGTTGGTGGCGGCAAATTAAAACCGGACCCGGCCAAAGTGGAAACGATTACTCGTTTTGCATACCCTAAGACAGCAAGACAGGTGAGGAGCTTCATGGGAGCAACAGGCTGGTATAGGAAATTTATACCAGACTATGCAACCATTACGGCTCCAATCTTTGAAACGCTGAAGATGGGTAAACAATTCAAGTTTACCGTTGCTTTTAGTTGCAGTTGTCTTGGCGATTAAGAAGTTTAGGGCCTATATAGAATTGATGCCATTTACGGTGATCACGGATCACAGCAGTCTTAAATGGCTAATGTCACATCGGGGTCTAACTGGTCGATTGGCGATGTGGAGTCTACATTTACAGGCGTACGATTTCGAAATTGAACATAGGCAGGGGAAGGAAAATGTAGTACCCGATACCCTATCGCGTTATGATATGGACGAAATCTCACTAAACGTATCTAAACTTGTAGATTTAAATTCGGAAGCATTTCAGTCGGAAGATTATCTAAGCTTAATTGATAAGGTCTAGAAGAATTCGGAGCAATTACCCGATTTGAAAGTGGTCGACGGTTTTGTCTACAAACGGACCAGGCATTATGACGGTGTAGCCCTTAGTGAAGATTTCGAGTGGAAGTTGTGGGTACCTTCAGAGTTAACCCAAAATATAATTAAAGCGTATCATGATTCCCCACAAGCGTCGCATGGAGGCGTCGGTATGGCTCTGTATAGAGTGAAGGAGTATTTTTATTGGCCCAATCAAAATGTTCAAGTAAGAAATTTTGTAAGAGTGTGTCAAATCTGCAAGGAATCGAAACCCGCGAATTCTACGCTCAGACCACCAATGGGATCCGAAGTACAGTCAGAACGACCTTTCCAACGCATTTTCATAGATTTTCTTGGTCCGTACCCACGGTGGAAAAACGGAAATGTTTATATTTTTATCGTTTTAGATCATTTAACTAAGTTTGTTTTTTTGAAAGCCTTGCCTAAAGCCAGCACCAAGAATATGGTGATATTTTTAATCACGGAGGTTTTCCATATATTTTGAACTCCGGAAACAATCGTTTCGGACAATGGAAAGCAGTTCGTAAGTAAAGAATTTGCGGATATGATAGGGAATTTCGGTGTCAGACATGTTAGAACTGCAACTCACTCACCGCAGGCTAATGCGTCCGAGCGCGTCAATCAGTCCATTTTAGCAGCAGGAAGGCCATACAGAATAGGACAAGCATTTGTCCGAAATTGAGTTTTCCTTAAGGTCTTCATTGCAGTCGTCCATCGGAGTTACGCCATATTTTGCCTTAATCGGAATGAATATGATTGGCCATGGCAGCGTTTATCAGTTGGCTCGTAAGCTCAAAGTGCTAAACGATCCCGAGATGAATATCATCCCGAACGCGGCTAGAATGGATCTGATACGAAGAAAAATTCGGGAAAATCTACATAAGGCCTACACTCGTAACGAAAAATCTTATAATACGCGGTGTTGACAAGTTAAATTTGTTCCCGGTCAGGAAGTCTACCGAAGTAGCTTCCAACAAAGCGATTTTAAGAATAATTTTAATGCTAAATTTGCCCGAATTCGTAAAAGTTTAATAAACCAAACAAAATTTTCATTTGTTTTCTAAATTTTCCTTATATTTTTTAGAGGTCGAGGATATTCAGGGTAAATCGTTAGGAGTTTTTCACGCCAAAGATTTGAAGCAATAGCTTCAATATCTTTGGTGGTTCTAGTCCTAACATTTCTTCCTGAATATCTACCGGTTGACAGCGTCTAGTAGTCGTCCAATTCGTACCTAATTGTGTACCTATCTTTAAATCTGTATTGTCGAGTCTTTATATTAATCTTAGTCTTTTCTTTATTGGCAGGGAATTTCTGTTTGGCATAGCTGTTGATATATCCTAGGCAGTACCGAGTTCTGTACATATCGTTCATTTATATCGTAGTCCGGTGAGATCCATAGCTACTTTGGAATGAGTAATTATTTGTTGGATCGACTTAAAGCCAACGTTTCTTAGCTGGTTACATGTGTAACCGGTCATTACCCTATTAGTAGGTGCAACCCCATCAAAGCCTTCTGGTACCGTGTCATCAAAAGCGTAAGGGTTGTTAGTCACCTAGGGTAATAACACAATTCTGAGTCCGATCTTACAGCGAGCCGATACCAAAGTAAACAATTGGGACAATATAAGTTGGAAGACCAACAAGTAGTTGTTCATTCCGTAAACAGATTGTCACTGGCTGGGAAATAAATGATCGATAGTACAGATACGTCAGTTTTGGTTGGGATATAGTTCGTAACTATTCTAAACACAATTCTTTTGAGTTCAGTGGCAATAACAAGGAGTTTAGGACCTTGTTTCATAATTTTCTAAACTTTGTCTTGTTATTACCACCGAATTCTGCGCTAATATTGGAAATGAATCTATGAAGTCCGACTTAAACTAGCTGTCTGATTACCTTGACTTATATTCTAATATATGTAGTATACATATAAATTAAATATTTTTATTTACTTTACACTCACTCGGATTTTCTACTTCATCGCCTCATTTGCCTCTCACGATCTTGTTGTTGTAATCTGAAATAAAAACGAAAGACTTTAGTATAGGTTCAAATAAATAATTAGAATTATAATTATTTCATTATAAATAGTTGCCAATTCCCATGGATTTCACCGATGTTGGCATCTCACTGGTGTTCTAGTCCTTTCGGTTCGTCCTTCTCAAGGGCACTTGAATTCCAAAGAACCTGTAGGGAAAAGAAACATTAGTTTTTGTATTTTTTTTAAGTTGATAATAAAATTTTCTAAAAGAATCGTGTCTATGAATTGTTTAAAAGAAAATTTTTATTAAGAGTTTCTTTTAGAAAGTTTTATGCTCAAACAACCCTATATATGTGAGCTAGTAGCTAGTTTTTGTTTAAAGTGAAAATGTCAAGGGGCACTTCTCGCCAAAGATCTAAGGCTTCAGCCTGAAATCTTTAGTGGTTTTGGTCCTTGTCATTTTCATCTATTTTTATCAGAAGACTTACCTGAGTCATCATAATGTCCGGGTCTTCTATGTCAGTTTCCCAAAGTTTGGATGGATAATTTGTAAAAGGAAGCATTAGTAATTTAGTTTTTTTTTGTTGAATGTAATTACAAGGGGTATTTCCCGCCAAAGTCTGTAGAGTTTACTCTATGAGTTTTGGTGGACTTAGTCCTTGTATTACAATGAATAGGATGTAACACTATAATTAATATAATTTTTTTCAAACTTACGACTCCTAAACGGAAGCTAAGGCCTGTTGGAAGTTTAAGGTCCTTTTGAATTTTAATCTGAAAATATAGTAAATTAAAATAGAATTAGTAAAATTATAAAAAAAAGGAATCACAAAAAAATATAAAAAGAATTAAATAAAAATCTAAAAAATAAATTTAATAAATTTAGAAAAAAAACATATAAAAACATTTATATAAAAAAAAATCGAAAAAAAATTTTTGGAGAAAATTGAAAAAAAACTGAATTAATTTTTTTTTATTTTGTAAATATTTTCAGAATTTTTCATTGAATTTCGTACATTTTAACTTTTATTTCCACTGTCACTAAAATTTCACTGATACATTTATCCGCCACTGTATTTTAAAAAAAATAGTTTTATTTCACAAATTCGCATATTTTTGTTGACCTTCAATGAATTAAATAAATTTTTACTTACCATAATTCCACCAAAATCTGCAGCATCCTCCGTCTTTTTCTGGAAAGAAAATATAAAAAAGAATAAATTAATATAATGCAATAAATTTTTATTAAAATTTTTAAATAAAAATAAATAAATTCAAAAATAAATATCTCATTAATAAATACTTACCCTTGTTGACCACCACCATTGAAAAATATTAATAAATGAGTATTTTTGGCATTCTCTCTCCTCCCCTTTCAATTCATTCAGAGTCCGACGGCGACACAGAGTCGCACTTTTGTTCATGACTGAGTAAGGGTTGCCATAGGGTTTTTTGTTGGGAATAAAAAAAATACCCACGATCCCAAAAAATTTTTTTAAATTAGGGATGTTCATAATTTCAGGCCGCAAATTTTTCCACCCCATTCTGCATCCATAAATGGATTACAGAATGGTACGGTTTGTCGTGTGCACCCTGTAGTTTAGCTACAAAAAAAAGAAAAAAGAAGAAGCAGGGTAAACAGGTGGCAACTAAATAGAAATGGAAATTTTTCTTCAGGAAGAAGAGGAAGAAAGTAAACAAAAACAAAACAACTATGAAACAATATGAAAAGAATTAAATTGCTGAAAATTTATTGGAAGGGCACCATATTGGCAACCGAGGTTTCTCGGTCCCTAATGACCAAAATGTCGGTCTTTTTTATTTCTTTTGGCTATTGAAGAAGGTGGAGCCCGTGGCCATCGTCTAAGTAATAATAAAAAAAAATCAGTTTTTCATTCTTTTTTTGTTAATTTCATTAATTTTTTTGTTAAAGAAAAAAAATTTTAACAAATTTTTAAATCTTAAAACTAAACTAATGTAGATTTAAAACTACATTAAAGTAGACTTTAAAGCTAAATAAAAGAAAACTTAAAACTAAATAAAATCCAAATTAAACTAAGCCAACACCAAGCCACGCCATCGCCAGCTCCACTCAACGGGGGACTTCGTTGGCAGATATCAAATATTTGACGTTTTTTATCAAATATTTGTTGGCTGTAATGTGAACACAAATTATTTTTGAAGAGCAAACAAAATATCAGCTGTTCTTCGTGAAACATTTTTATTTGTCAACCTACAAATATTTTCTTAATGTGAAAACAATGTGAACACCAAACATGAAACATTTTTGTTAAACGTTAAAGAAACTATTTAATAATATTTTTTACGATTTAATAGAAATTTTTGCCTAAGAACAAAAAATTAAATACATTTTTATTTCACAATGTGCTTAAAATGAGTATTTCTATTTTGACGTTTTGTTTGAAGAAACAAAGTCAAACACAATTCAGTACAAATAGTAAAAGTTTGTTTGCCCGGTGTTCACATTACAACAAATAATTTCGTAAAGCAATTGACGGATAAAACAGTAAAAAAACAAGATTTTGTTTGCAGGCAAAGAGGAACATAACAACAAGAACAGCTAATGCGCAACCAAACCAAAAATATATGTGTTTATATTTACTAAAAAGCTATATTATTGAATAATAACTTCTATATATTCTAAAATTTCATTTAATATTGTTTTTCATCAAAATTGTACAACAAAAAAATACAAATTACATTTCAATACCTTGTGCAAGTGGAAAAGAGATAGATAGACTTGCACAAGGTATTGAAATTACATTTCAATACCTTGTGCAAGTGGAAAAGAGATAGATGGTGGATCTTTACTGTCATGTTGTTGCTATTTAGTATAGTCAATGTAGCGAAAAACCTTGGTTGTTTGGAACGGTTTATAGCGATTTCAAAAAAATCGCTATAAGCCCGGAAGTAACCAAATTATAAATAATTTTCATTAAATTACATATCTATAAAATTGAAAATTAGAGAGAATTGTTTATTATTAATATGTTTTTATATCCATTACTATAATAAATAATTGTTTAAATAAATTAAGTAATAAATTAATTAAATAATTTCTCAATTAATTGCTAAACTATAGACTAGATTATAACCTATAGACTAGACTATAAACAATACTATAAACTAGAGTATAGACAAGACTATAGACTAAACTATAGCTTGACTATAGACTAGACCAGCGGTTCCCCCGGTTTTTACTTCGCGGACCCCTTGAGGAATTTATTTAAATTCGCGGACCCCCATACATATTTTGATATCTTATTGTTCTAAATATGTAATTGTTCATCCGAAAATTGTCATAGTCCATAAATCCCAAGGTCAAACAGATGTAGATATGTCATTTCTATAAAATATTCCCGTACATTGAGAATAATTAATATTTCAGCGAAGTTTCAATTGCCTGTTTTTGAAGATAGAATGACTTCATTGTTGAAATGTTAACATGATGTTTAATTTTATGATCGTGAGATCTTTCACGTTCATTTTTCTTTAAGGTAACGAAAAGGTTTCTTCATCAAATATCGTCGACATGTGCTTAAAGAGTCACGTTGCAAATTTTTTTTGCGATTGCAGACGGGTAATCTGAGTATGTTAGCTAATTTTTCGGGAAAATAATATAAGAAAGTTGAACTTCTTCGATATTGTTGCGGAATGCGTTTATCCGCATAATATATGACTTGAACTCTTTGCGAAAGTACTGTGAATTTTACTGCATGGTTTTGACTATTTATGCATTTTCTGGTGTTAATTTAATAATATTGGTAGACAAAATCAAGTTAAAATATGTGTATCACGTCGGAATGGAATATTTATATTTAAAATTACCAGGATTAACGTATTGAAGACGAATAAAGAGTCACCTCTGTTTCGGAAATATATTATTTTAGTCCTTCCAAATAAGAACACTTTTGTTTACAATTTGACAAACTTAAATCTGCGATAAGCTTGTCCTTGAATTATGAAATGTGGCCTAACTTCATACACCGAGATAACAGTATCTCTTATTTAATTGTAATTTGGGAACCGTTGGACTAGACTGCAAACTAGACTATAGATGCATATATTATGTAGTATAACTATATATAGTATGTTGTTACCAACCAATAAATAACAAAACAAACAACAAAAATAATAATTATCATTAATTTACGCAATTGCTTGAATTTCAATTAAATGTCACAACTTTGTCTCAGATTTATATTTTATAAAAAATAAAATAAAAGCAGTCATATAAGCGACTATTTACATTTTTGTATGAGGTGATAACACTCTTTTTCAGAAAATAAACAAAGAACAGCTGTCATTGACGCTGTTTGATCTTACATTTGGTTTGCAAGATCAAATAATTATTTTACCAAAATGACGTAAATTATTTGACTTTTGGTGTTCACATTGATGAAACAATGAGAAAATATTTATTTGCCAGCAAATCAATTTGTTTTATGAAAATCATCCGCATTGCTGTTTGTTAACATGAAATATTTTATGTTCAGATTCGACAAACAAAGTTTTTTCAATCGTGTTATATATTAATATTATACACTTTTATTATAAAAATTTAATTTTAAACCTAATAAAAATAGTTAAAATTAAAACAAATTGCCAAATTGTTTTTTTCTTGCATGAAAATATACGATATACTGTGGCTGCAAAACATGTGTGTGTTTGAACCATATTATATTTGCACTGTTTGATAAATCAATACCATCAAATATTTGTTCAAGTCTGAACATGAAATAAATATTGCATTTGTTTGACGCAACTTTATAAATATTTTATAACAAATATTTGAACCAAATATTTTACAGGTCTGAACGTAGCTTAAGTGTATAAGGTAAGTGATTGGGGTGAAATTATTGTGAGTGGGTAGGGTTAGTTAGGGGCAACTAAAATTAACAGGTTGCTACGGTTGTAGGTTTAGGCCTCTGGGAGGGAAATAACATATTGGCAACTCCATCTGTCAATAATGAGTATTCTTGGTTAGTAATGGAATGATTTAGTTGAATGTTTGGTGTATTCGTTTTATGAATGTTATGCTCACTTCGGGTCCCTTTCAATTTAAATATTTCTGTTTTTCTGTCAACTTAAACGTAATGCTGGTATTTTATAGAATTTTTGTACCCAGGAAAAGTGGCAGTGTCGGCAAGAACCACCCCATCCGGCGAGCCTCAGCCCGGCATACGCCATAATACCAGCGCCGCCGACATTTGGCAACACATGTTTCGGCATTTGTTTTGTTATCAATTTTCATAATCCTGGCCAGTATATTTTGGTCGGAGGAGTCAATTTTATGTGGACATTTGTTTTGATGCAATACATCAGAATCAACAATAAAATCGATTTTGAATTTTTGGTTAGTTAGGGCCGTTTGCGTTTCAGGTGACGATATATTCTGTGTCCTTATTAAATTCTAAGACGATCTAGCCATGTCTGTCAGTCTGTCTGTCCGTTGAAAGCACGATAGAGGCCGAACGGCAAGAGGTAGAGGATTGGTCGATAACTGACCCTACCCCTCATATAGGGTGCCCTTTAAAAAATGAATTTTATGGTCGTTATTGGCTAAAAAATATGAGTATGGCGATGAAATTTTGCGAGCCAAAATCTCTCTACCGGATTTTATGTGAATCGATCCCTAATTGACCCTACCGCATATAAAGTCCCCTTCAGAAAATGACTTTAACTCAAAATGCGAGAAATTTTATAAGGATCGATCCTACACTGACCCTACCCCCCATATAAGGTCCCCTTCAGAAAATGATTTTAAAACTCATTGCTGCCACAAAATAGCGAGTCCAGCGATGAAATTCGACATGAACAAGTTTTATGGGAACTGAAATCTTTCTACTGATTTTGATGAAGGTGGATCGATAACTAATTCTATAATATATAATATTCGGCATGGGCGAATATAACACTCTTACTTGTTATTTTTTATATTCACAGAGGAATTTTGTGTATTATTGCCAAAATACAATAAATAATTTATCTGTTTCTGATAAATAATTGCTTGAATTTCAATTGAAAATCGAAATACCTGGGAAGTGATACTATTTTTCCGAAAGGTGGATCCGAGTAGAACAAGAATATGTTTTTAAAAATTTGCCAAACACCTCCAAAATCTTGAGTTAAGGGTAAAAACCCGGTTTTTCGTACCTTTAAGTACTTATAAGCAGTGTTGCCATTTTAGCACTTTTAGTGCTAGATTTAACATTTTGCATCGTGTAAATGCATTGAAGTTTTTATATACTACACCACTAAAGTGGTGATTTATTGTGATGAAATGTGATTTATTTTTCATATTATTTAGTGAATAAAAAAATAATTTTTATTTTGATTAAAAAATAGTAAAATTTAAATATGAGATATTTACAATTTGGAAGAGTGAATTTATTTGAGATGAGTTAAAACAAAAAACTTTAGCAGAGATTACGGAAGAAAATAACATTTCCTTAATGTAACAAATTCTATTCTTTCAGATTCATACATATAGATATGTATTAATGAATTCCAAAGTTTAAAAGTCTGATTTTACTGGAGATACAAATTAGCAACAATATTTATGTATTTCAATATTTATTTA